AGATTCCTGATTACTGTTGGTGTACAGGGTTATGGGATGGGATGGGGTGGGTAAAAGGCAATGAAATATTCGGTCAGCCTCGATCATTATGAATGCTGGGGCAGGCTTAATGGGATGAATGGCCTCCTGTTCAGAAAATCCTATGTTCTCCAGGACAATATGGCAATTTATGTGCAATAAATGTTGATCTAGCCAGCAAAGCTGACAACCTGTGAGCAAATAAAAAATGAAGAGCTGTGTAAATAAAATCTTATCTTGGATTGCTGTGCATAGTTTTGGTCTGCTTATTTAAAATAGGATATAATTGCATTTGAAGCAGTTCAGAGAAAGTACATTAATGGATTCATGGGATGTGAGAGTTATCCTTTGAAGAAAGATTGGACAGATTATGAAAAATCGTATAGTACAGAAGCGGTCCTTCAGCCCATCAAGTCTGCACCAACAAAAAAATACTCCTAATCTACACTGGTACCACTTCCCATCACTTGGCCCATAGTCTTGAATGTCATGAAATTTTAAGTACTCATTCAAATACCTTTAAAAGGTTGTGAAGTTTCCTGCCTCAACTACCCTCCCAGGCAGTGCATTTCAGATTTTCACCACTCACTGTATGAATTTGCTTTCCTCAAATCCCCTCTGAACCTCCTGCCTTTCATCTTTTAAAATTATGCCCTGTTGTTATAGATCCTTAGCTGGGGTGAGCAGCTATTTCCTATCCACATTGTTCACGTTTCTCATAACCTACACCTCGATCAAATCCTCTGCAAGCCTTCTCTGCTTTAAGCGAACAACCCAAGCTTATCCAGCCTTTTTACAAAGCTAATCCCAGACAACATCCTGGTGAATCTCCTCTCCACACCGTCTAGTGCAATAACATCCTTCTTACCGGGTGGTGACTGGAACTGCACACAGTACTCTGTACATCCATTGGAGTTTAGAAGAATGACTGGTGACTTGTTTGAAACATAAAGCCCTGAGTGTACTTGACATGGTGGATGCAGAAAACGTGTTTCCTCTTGCTGGAGAGACTCGAACTAGGGGACACAGTTTAAAAATAAGGAGTCTCCCATTTAAAATGGAAATGAAGAGAATTTCTTTTCCTCCTGGGAGAGTTGAGAATCTGTAGAATGTTCTTCCAAAGAGAATGATGTTGGCAGTGTCATTGAATATTTTCAGGCAGGTTGACAGGTACGGTGAGGCTATATCTGAAGTACTGTGTGCAGTGTGGTCTCCTTAATTAAATAAGGATGCTTTGGAAGCAGTTCAGAGAAAGTTTACGAGATGAATACCTGGAGTGTGTAGTTGTCTTTGAAGAAAGGGCATTCTCTCCTTGTAAACACTGGAGCTTAGAAGAGCATGAAACAACTTAATTGAAACAAGCAGGATCCTAATGGGACTTGACAGGACTCATGGAATGGATGGTTTGTCCTGTGGAATAATCTTGAGCTAGTCACTTTCAAAATAATGGGTCACTTATTTAAGATAGAAAAAAGGAGATTTTATTTCTCACAAAAGGTTTAGTCGCTTTGGAATTTTCTTCCTTGAATGCTGGTCACTTTTTGATTAGGCTTTTCAATGTAAAATCATGTTTTCTTCTTCCTTGGAATGCAGTTTTCCAAATAAAACTTATTTTGTGAAACAGCATCATCCTTGTCGATAGACTGTACTAGAACAATTTGGCTGGGCATGCAGCTTGTTCCGGATCACTTCCTTCAGTACTATTACTGGAATGTTGTTATGGGGCCTGCAGTCTTCTCACCATCCAGTGTCTTCAGCTATTTCCTGATACCACATGAAGTGAATGGAAGTGGTTGAAGATGAGCATCTGTCATGTTGGGGATCTTAGAAGCAACTGAGGTGAATCTCAGCCACAAGTGCCACTTGTGGCTGAAAATGGATGCAAAAACTCCAGCCTTGTTCTTTACATTCCACCCCCACAATTAAAGATGGCGAGACTTGTAAGCTTTCACATCGTGTTAGGTCTTTAATTGTCCGCCACTATTCATGACTGGATGTGACAGGTTTGTAAAGTTTAGGACCTGAGCTGTTGGTTGTGGGATTGCTTGGCCCTGTCTATTGCATACTACTTTTCTGCTAAGCATACGCATAAGCCTGCATTGTAGCTTCACCAGGTTGATGCCTCCATTTTTAGTTTAGCCTGGTGATGGTCCTGAATGCCCTCCTTTACTTTGCCATCAACCTTGGTTTAATTAAATGACACTGTGGAGTTAGGCTGGGTTATGACAGTCCAGACTGTGGTTGAATACAATTCTGGTACTGATGGCCCACAAGAATGCCCAGTTTTGAGTTACTGGTTTGTTTGAAGTCTGTCCCATTTAACATCGTGGCAATATTGCAGAACTTGATGGCAGTTATCCTCAGTGTGAAGACCTAGCTTTATCTCTATAAGAACTGTCTGTTAACTCCTATTGGTTCCATTTATGGATGGATAGATTGTTGGGGATGGAGTAATTTTTTTTTTTTTTTTTTTTTTTTCCCCCCCCCTTCTTATTTGTTTCTTGCCAGTTGCTGCAGACCCAGTCTAGCAGCTATGTTCTTTAGGGCACTGTCAGCTCCATCAGTAGTAGTGTAGCCATGCTATTTTTGGTGGACTTTTCAAGCCCTCCGCTCAGAATACAGGTAACTGGTCAGCCTGTGCTTCCTCCAAGTGATGTTCAACATGGAGGGTAACTGATTCATCAGTTCCATGGTTGTTACTCTAATTGGCAAACAGCAGAAAGTTGCCTTACCCATGTTTGGTCTGCTGCCATGAGAACTCACAGACTCCAGAGTCAATGTTGAAGTTGTAGTAAATGCCAACACTCTGTTTTCTTTCTTAATTATTTGCTGCATCTGCATGCTAACTTATTGTGATTAATTTACCAGGACCCCCAGATACTCCCTTATCTGAGTTCTCCCCCTCCAGTTAAATTAAATGTTGCTTTTTTATTCTTCTTTCCAACTTGGCCCAATTGTGTTTAACAAAAGAAATTCAGGATAGTGTTAGAACCAATAAGGAGTCATGTAAAGTTGTTAGAAGTAGTAGCAAGTGTCAGGATTCAAAACAATTTAGACTTCAGCAGAGTAGCGGCAAGAGATTCATTGCTTGATTTAAGAGAGGAAAATAGCACATGAGAGCAAATTTGCAAGGAATATTAAAATGCATGTACAAGTACATTTAAAAAAAATAGTTAAGCCAGTTGTAGGTCCCTTTGCAGTCTGAAACACACGAATTGGTGGAGAGCAAGGAATTGACAGAGCAATTAGCAGCTACCTGTTGCTCTGTTTTAAAAAAAAACCCCAGAAGTGTGAGGGGAACAGGGGTCTTGGCTAGGAGGTATTGAAGCAAGTCAGTATTTGGAAAGGTAAAATGGTGCTAGAGAAATTAATGGGACAGATAGCTGATAAATCTGCAGGGAATGATAATCTGCATGCCCGAGTCGTGAAGCAAATGGAAATACTGAATATGTTGGTTGCCATCTTCCAATCTGTTTTGCTTCTGGAATAGTGCCAGCATAATCAAGGGTTGCAAATGTCATCCTGCTGTTTCTTTTTAAAAAAAAGGGAGGGAGAATGCCAGGAATTGCAGATCAATTACAGATCTAACATCAGTAGTGAAAATGCTGGAGGCTATTCGGAAGGATATGATAACAGGATATTTAAATGCAATCAGTATTACTCAAAGTCAGCATAGGATTGCAAAATGGCAATTGTCTGATAAACCTTTTGGAGTTCTTTAGAGGACGTAATGTGTCGAATAGATGAATCACTAGATGTGGTGTGTTTGGATTTTCAGAAAGCTTTTGAAAAAAATACCCAGTAGTCTCTTGCGTGGGAATCTGTAGCTTGGGTACCAGCTATTCACAACATTTATCAACGATTTGGCCGAGGGAGTCGAGTGTAATTGCCTAATTTGTTGACTGTACACTCTTCAATTAGTTTTGTAAGTTGTGAGAAGGATGCTACAAGACTTCAAACAACAGACAAGTTGAGTGAGTGGGCAAGTACATGACAGATGCAGAAAATTGAAGATAAATGTGCAACTGTGCTTTCTGGTAGAATAAGCAGAATTGCAGAGAATTAACTAAACAGTGATAGATTTGGAAATGTTGATATGCAAGGGAAGCCGGTGTCCATGTACACTGGTCATTGAAAGCAAATATGCAGTGCAATGAGGAGTTACGATAACAAATGGTATGTTGGCTTCCATTGCATGTGGATTTAAGTTCAGGAGCAAGAAAGCTGTCCAGGGTCTTAGTGAGACCAGATTTGAAATATTGAGAGTGTTTTTTGGTCTCATTACTTAAAGAAAGATGTACATGTCATAATGAGAGCGTTGCAGTGGTTCACTAGACTGATTCCTATGATAGCAGGTTTATCGTTTTGCTTGTTACTTCAGTCAAACTTAATATCTCTTTCGCAAAACCATGTCAACTTTGTCTGATTACATTGATATTCTCTCAGTTGTTCACTTTAGCCTCCAAGATAGAATTCAGCATTTTCTTTACTGCAGCTGACAGGCTTGTCTGCTTTCTTGACGACTGGAGGAGTTGCATTTCCTATTTTGCTAATTGATGGAACCTTTCCTGAATCTGGAAGTTTGGAAAATTAAAACCAATGCATCTGCCATCTTAGCAAACTGAATTCTTCTCTAATTGCTGAAGAAAAAAATTGCATTTTCTGAAGAAGGGTCTAGACCCGAAACGTCAGCTTTCCTGCTCCTCTGATGCTGCTTGGCCTGCCTGCTGTGTTCATCGAGCTCTACACCTTGTTATCTCTCTTCTCCTAATTGCGCCAGCTTGGATCTAAATTATCTGATATTTTTAAAAAAAGTTGATTTGGATCATATTGTTACTAAATACAATAATTTACACTTCAACTGATTTTTGATTATGTCTATCCAGTTTTCTTATAGCAGAGCTAAATAGTGTAAGAAGGCGCAGATGTTTGCCCTGATGTTTAATTGCTTTTTAATATATTTAATTTGTGTTTTGTTTCAGTGACTCGGATTCCACGTCATCATCATCTTCTGCACTCTCTGTGGTTGTATTATCAGATGGTGATGATGATGATCAGGAACTAGCAGGAAAGAGAAAACCCCAACCAGTCAAAACAAAGGATGAACTGCTGTTGGAGGTGGGTCTTGATGTCTAATTTCATTAGAATCAGTGGAGATCATAAAAAAAAGGTGATCTCAAGTTGCTCCCTATTATTTGTTGCCTTAGGCACAGTGGTTGGGGAGGGTTTGAACTAAATTGGCTAAGCAAGTAGCCACATGTAGGAGAATCAAAGCCATTGGCAACAGATCAAAAGGGGAACAAGAGAAGTGATAGGCGTAGGAATCAAAGGTCAGAATCAAACGAGGCGACAGTAAAAAAAATAACTGGTGGGAATGGGGCAAGGAATATTAAAAAGCCATGTCTTGAGTCTTTGTGCCTGGATTCACGAGCATTCAAAATAAAGTGGATGGATTAATTGTCCATGTAGATGTACACAGGATATATTTGGGATTAGGGAGGCGTGGCTACAGGGTGACCAGGGATGGGAGCTGAACATTCAGGGGTATTCAGTATTTAGGAAGGACAGACAAAAAGGAGAATGTGGTGGAGTTGTATTACTGGTTAAAGAGGATACAAACACAGTGTCTGAGCTAATATCTTACCTCAATGATTTAAAGTCTATATGGTTAGAATTGAGAAGTACCAGAGGCAACAAACATTACGGGGGGGGTGGTATGTAGTCAATGTGTTGGCGGGAATGGCATCAAACAGGAAATCAGAGATGCATGCATAAAGAAACATCTAATTATGATGACTTTAATTTGCATATAGATTGGGCGAATCATGTTAGCCATGATCCCATAGAGGAATGATTCCAAGACTATATATGGGATGTTTTCCTAATCATTACGTTGAGAAACCAACTAGAAAACAGGCCATTTCACCCTGGGTATTAAACAATGAAAGAGGAATTATTGATAATGTAGTTAAGAGACTCCTTGGGATGACCAATCATAATATTCTAGAATTCTTCTTTAAGATTGAGAATGCAGCAGTTGATTCTGAGATTTAGGTCCTGAATCTTAATAAGGGAGTCTACAACGAAATGAGGTGTGAGTTGGCTATGATGGATGAAGAAATGTTACTGAAAGGAATGATAGTGGATAGGCAATGGTAAGCATTCAACGAGCAAATGTATGAACTTCAAAAATTATTTATTAATTTAGAGGATTAGGAGGCAAAAAAAGGCATTCAAATTAGCAAGAAAGTTTGCTTTTAAGAAGGTGGTAGATGTAATCCACGTGGCTAATGGATCAAGGGATCTAGACTGATGATGAATAAGGGTATTGAGCTCACTGATCAGCCATGATCATAAATGAATGGCGGAGCAAGCTGAAGGGATTGAATGACCTAGTCCTGCTCCTATCTTCTTTGGCTAATGTTTCAACAGTAGAAGTATAAATTGTTTTGTCACCTATGTTCTCAGTATTGCCTATTTCAGAAGGCATGCTGTAACAGATATAATGGTGCAAAGTAGCACTGTATCTTTATATTTTCTTCTGTGTGGAAGAAGTTTTCCTTCTATGCATATTCCATTTCAGTTGAGGTGCTTACCAGATTTTACTTGCGCAATCCCATCCTCTACCCAAAAGCTGAGTAAATTAGGGCATCAGTGCTTTGCATACTTGAATTAACTTTCAGTATTTGTGATTGCAGCTTTGAGATTTGGAATCAAGTTATCTTTAGATTTCCATTTGATAACTTGTTGGTTTATGATTTGAATATGATTGAAGGGAACTGATGGTAGCACTGATATGACAGTACATAAAATGTAGGTGAAATCCAAAGTACCATCACCAATGTGTTTGAAAACTCATAAACATGGTTTAGAAATGTCACAGTAAATTAAATTATGCAACATCAATATAGAGTTTTCAGCCAATTTTCTTCTGTTGCAAAACTAGCCTCGTTGTCTATGATCCTTCTATGATGTGAGTAGAAATTAACCATTTGGAAATTTTGCTTATGGCATGACATGGCACAGGGGAAGGCTTATCATTTATAGATTTATTGATATGGACATTGCTATTTATATGATTTTTATTGACCTGCTTCAGCCCAATGTTCTATTAATAAGAGAAACACTGTACTTATAGATGTTGATTCTGCTGTTAGTACATCTTCGATGGGTGCAAAATTTTAAAATATTTTCTGCAAACCGATTAAAAAAGATGCAGTAGATTGCTGAAGAAATAACCAATTTTGTCAAAGCTTTTCAGTTGCACTCATCAAGACAGTTCGTAAGAAATACCAAAGTAAAGGGAAAATGTTTACACTGAGGGGCAAGTGCTAATTGGTTGGCAATGAACTGTGATCAGTAGATGTGTTGCCATGAGGGATGTACCACTTAATGATGACTGACAGTTAACTGCCAATTTTTTTTTTAAAATTAGGCAGCTTGGTTTCTGGTCAGAACATTGCCATGAGAAATAAATCTATGAATGGCTGATGGCTATATTCACAGTGTGTATAACAATTTCTTCTGTCTCCAAAGAGCAGCACCCTTTGTATTAATATATGTAGCTTTCATTATGTGCAAATGTACTATTCTGCAAACCTAAATGACAGCCATAAATTCCTCGTCAGCATAATTCTTTGCATGCTCAAGATTTTTCAGCAATATTGTCCAAGTGCAGAATAACAATGAATTTTGGACACTGTGAATTTTGCAAGCACAGGCTGGTTACGTACAGAATGCATCTTGCTTATTGTGAAGAGCTGAAGGGATGTGTTGTTTGATATGATCCTCCAGTCTTTGGGATGTATAGAATATATTACCTAGGATCATACCAGCTCTGAAATTCATGTACTCCGTTACTCATTTGCATGGTTGGCAGGACGTCTTTTTGGCATGATGCAGTAACCTATTTGTGTGAACACCACTTGTACTACTACTGTGTGGTAGCAAGGTGAAAAAGCTAGCTTCGTCTGTTGCTTAAAAGTTTATGATACATTACCATTCCAGGGTAATCTGAGGTAGACAGGGCACTTTGTAGCATCAGAAGTGGTGGCCTTGGTAAACAAGGTGACATGATGCCAAGGTGGGTAGCGCTGCTGCCTCATAACACCAGGGACACAGGATTGATTCCAGCCTTGGGTGACTGTCTGTCTATGTGGAGTTTGCACATTCTTCCCGTGTCTGAGTGGGTTTCCTGTGTTCTGGTTTCCTCCCAAAGTCCAAAGATGTGCAGTTTCGGTAGATCAAAATGCTAAATTGCCCCATAGTGTCCAGCGATATGCAAGTTAGGTGAATTTGCCACGGTAAATGCGGTGTTATGGGGAAAGGGTGGGAGGAGTGGGTCTGGGTGGTATGCTCTTTGAAGGGTCATTGCAGACTTCATGGGCTGAATGGCCTCTAAGGTTTCCATGATTCTATGAACAAATGGCCAGGATCACACAGGACCTGTACATGGATTGCATTGCTCTATCCATGTGCTCATTTGCCATTGCGTGTCTATTCAACAATATATCACTGGAGGAAGCCATGGACGTTTGCGCTACAGCCAACGTAATGATGATGTGCATCTACATCATTGTGTGAAACAGTGCTTCTGAACTTATGAACTCAGTAACTCACACAGTCGAGCTCAGTGTCATTAAAACTATGTCTAAATGATTTTGCCGTGGGAATGCTACTAGGCCCAGCTCACGCAAACGTCTTTATTGGATTTAGTGAGAAATTTGTCTTTGATGGAGTAACAACATCTAACCTCCTGCTACTTATCTATCTCCAATGTGTAGATGATGCTTTTAATATTTCGATTTTATAGGTGTGTATAAGAATTTTCATGCACGTCTTAATGAGCTCCACTGTTTACACAAATTTACGTTTGAAATGAAGCAGTCACGTGAGCTGTCTTTACATGATCACCTATGAGAGAATTCGGCCTGGACTTCTCTACGACTATCTACCAGAAATCTGTCTGTACTGGTCTTTAATATGTGTTGGATTGCTACATTTCTATGCGAGAGAACAACGGTATATATGTAGATGGCAAGATACAGCGGAGACACTTAGAGCTCTTTAAAGTGCAAGTAATTTATTAGGTACTTAAATGAATAACACATACCTTTAACTACTAGAGATATTTCAATCAGTGTCTTTCACTACCCTGGTTTCAAACATTAATATTCAGGAAAGTTGGCAGCTGGCCAGGATGAAACTCACCTTGACATCTTCACCACACCTCCTGACGTTGGTACCTCCTTCAGTGTTAATCTGCAAAGTTTGGCTGAAAAATCAAGGGTTTTCTGGTTGCCTTAAAAACAGATCAGTGTCAAGTGTATGCCTTATTTGGAATTATCCATGCACGTGACCAATCTCGAATGTTTTGTCCAAATGTATACCTTACTTGGTAGAGACAGCATTAGTGATTTCCTGCAATCTTAGCTCTTAGACCCGAATGACTCTGCTTCATTCCACTCGCATAACAGATAGTTGTAAAGCCTGTTTGTCAGTTCCTGGTACCTTCAGCCTTGTCTAACAGGCTCAAGCCATTTATTCACTCTGCAAGCTTCACATTAAAATGGGATTCATCAGTCATCTGCAGAATAATAGCTACCCTGATCAGTTCATTATGTGCCGTATAACATGCAAACTCATGAAAGAGCCAAAGGGTCCTGAAAAGTGCCCAGCTGATCACTGATTAGCCTGGAAGTGTAGGGTGAGATATTTCAAACGTTTGAACAACAGATCACTGTTTCATGCTGCTCCTATGCAGTAGTAATATGAGTATTGTTTGCTACTAACAGGATGCTGCTGTTCAACATAGAGGACATTTATGCCGAGCACTCATGAATAACGTGGTACAGCAATTATCTCAGCAAAACTCCTGTGTGTCTGGCTGTAGCTTTCGGTGGCTCTTGAGACCTGTTTAAAAACACAAAAACCAAACCCTCTGTCGTTAGAGGCTTAATGGGTTGATAATGAGCAATCATATCTATAAGTTTTAGAAATATCCAAAATTTATTAATGTTGAAAACCACAGTTCTAATGACGTGAAGCACATATGTTAAAATCTTAAAGAACTGTCAGCCAAAAGAATGAACTAGTTTGAAAAGGGGCAGTGTCCAAGT